TCACATCTAACTTGGGCAATGGTGTTTTCATGTAGCATCCAGACTAGACGAAGAAGCCACTGCTCTTTGAAGGTAGCTTCCAGCAGAGTCTGGTGGAAGGGAGGCCAAAGTAGGGGCCCACCTGTCAGTATTTGTCTTTAGTAACTCAAATGGAACTGAGTCACTATCAGGTGCTTTCCTATATTTTAGTTGGTTAATTAATTTAATAATTTTCAGTTGGGAGTCCAGAGGTCCCAGGGGAATAGTGCAATCACTAACCAGTGGGGAGTGCACAATAGAGAGAGGGGGATTATATAGGGAACCAAAATGTGCTTCCCAAGTAATGGCAGAAATCTCAGCCTCTGAACAGTGCTTTCCTCTCTAAGACAAGCATTGGAATAAACTATGTAATTGATCTTTGAAATGTATTAGAAAAACCCAGTAATAGCTCTTCTCTCATTGCAAACAAAGGAGCAAGTTCTCTACACTTAGTAACTCCCCAAAGACATAGCTATTGAAAAAGAAAGTGGCACTAAGAACAATTTTTTATAAATGCCTATAAAACTTACTGCAAGTTTTATCAACTTTTTCTAGGATATTTTGGATTGTTAGCTGCTCAGAGCCTTCAGGAATGAGTGGCATACAATAATGCAAATAAATACATGTTTTCTGCTCCAGTCACCTCCCTCCCTTTCTCTCTTTCCCTCTCTCTCTCTCTTCTGCTCCAATCTCAAGTAACCAATTACAGCTATACTGTATCTTCTAGCTCTGAATTTTGTTTCTATGCTTACAAGCAATGTGGCTATAAACAGAATGAACTAGAAAGCTTCTTGAATCCACATTTTGAAAGCATGATACAAGATACTGGCAAAACTGACCCTGGGTCTGCTTACAGCTTTACTCTAACCTGCTAATGTTTTGATAGTGTCTAACTTAAAACACTGATTTTGCTACTGCATTGAATGGAATATGGAATATGGAATATGGAATATGGAATATGGAATGGAATATGGAATATGGAACACATGGAATTGCCTTATAACAACTCAGGACACTGTTCCATCTGCTGTTTACTATGATAGGCAATTGCTTGAGTTAAGTTAAATATTTAGTTATTTATGAGTTTATAAGTTAAACTGATTTAACCATCAGTTAAAAATTAAACAATCTACTGTGGAATGAACCAAAAGTTTTATCTAGTTTTGGATTATGTCCCCACAATGGCTGATCAAATGTTAACAGAGAACCAGACCACGAGCACAATGGAACCAACAATTAAGGTGCAAAGGTATTTTGCTTCGAATATGATATGATAGCTTTCATATATAGTTCTCTTGGCTTGTACGTAGACATGGATTATCCCCCTTCATTTGTCTGATCCCCTATAAAGGTATCCTAGTAATTCTCCAGGGTTATCATGCAGTATAAATTTTCTTCATCTTGCTTCCTAATTGGTAATACCATGAACTTAATCTGATCTCTTGTGCTCTATAGCTCACCTAGAGCTCTTCATTAGCTGGTACACCAGGAGGGCTGGGAGATAACGTTTACTAGACCCATTCTGTACTCTTGTACCTAACTATTTTATATACGAGGAAAGATAATTTCATTTATAATTCTCTAACTCTGGATTTAATTGCAAGTAGTCAACCTTTCTGACCATAAACGTTATGCATATCATGACTGTAAACATTATCCACAATAGGCATTATGCTTTTCAAGCTGAAAGATGATATTTCTCTCTCCCTCTCAAACGCATTCAATGTAATTCACATTGCCTCCCATTAAACAAATCATCACAGCAAAACAACATGCTTTGTTCATTGCCAGTAACCCCCACCCCCACCCTCAGCTTGAGAAAGCAAGACTTCAAGAGAGAAAGGGAGGAATTTTAGAAACACATAAGGAAAAGGAGAACTGCCAGCCAATTTTCTCCATCTGTAGTTTAGCTCCACTTATGTATCCATTTACAACAGAGTGGAGCAAACTTTTGGTGGCCAAGGCAGCATTTAAGGGGGTGGAGTATCAAGTGAGTGCCGCAAAGAATGGAGCAATGATGTTGCATTAGGCCATGTCAAACACATGGCAAGACAAGGATTTTAGGGCTATTTTTCCCAGGCTAGAGAGAGGAAGAGAGAGAAAGAGAGAGAAGGGGTATCAGTGTGTATTGTTTTTGTTCCTCCTTTTCTTTTTTAATTCTGTTAGTCCTTACTTAGCATCTATAGTAGACTTACCTTGTGTCTTAAAATGGCAGGAAATTATGCAGAACTGGACTACCACAATTTATTGCTGCAGTCAGAGTGGGCTCAGAGGCCACAAAAAGAGGGGTCAGGAGCCACATGCAGCCTGGGCCAGAGGTTACCAACATGTTTTAGAAATATGTAAACATTTAGCAAAATATCCCCAGACTAGGGGCGGGGAAGCAAGGGCAAGTAGTTGCTTAAGGGGAGATAAACTGCTGGGGAGAGGCTCCGAGTTGCCTTGCCTTGCCTGCAAACCGCTCCGGTTGCTCTTCTTGCCCCTGGGAACATTTTTAGGGCTCTCAAAAGTCCAGTCCAAGCAAATTAGGTAACTAAGTGTGACTTGACCAATGTCACGTGCAGCTTTAGTTAAGTCCTTTATTTCTATACTGTCCATAATATTGTAATTAACCTAAGCAGTTTCTCTCTTCCCATGCTTCCATACTTTTCTGAAGATTTGCCAGGCAGAAATGTTCACATATCAATCTGCATTGGAATTAATTTCTTCTACTGTCAATGCATTTTAAGGGCTGCGTGGAAATACTAACACAGAAAAAAATAACCATTTTATTTAATAGGGCTGTGTTTCTAAAAAGGTGTTATACATCTTTTTCCTGGGAGGGGAAACAGCTGCTTTAAGGAGTTGCACACAGGTCCTACCTTTTGAACCACCTTTTGGAATTAAATCCAAAGCATTACACAGGCCTAACAATTCATAATGATGTTATGTGTGGCATAGAAGTAATGAGTAACTCTAATAATCCTTCTTGGAGGGAGCTGATTTGGAAGAAGCAAAGGAATTGACAATTTTAAATGGTTGTTTTTCCAATCTAATTTGATGCCTGACAGCTTTGTTGCAGCTTGCCAAAGTTAGAAAACCAGTGAGCAAGCAAATAACCACAACATACTAAAAATAATATAACAAGCTCTTATCCTGCCCCATAAAACAGGCTTTGCTCATTTGCTTTGACAAGAGCTATTGAAGTGTCTACCACAATGTTTCATAGTTAAATGGCATGTTCTATTCAAAGGGGTCCCTAAATACTGGCTTATGAAAATCAAGCTGGATTCCAGAAGCTCCTTACTTACACCAAATTTAGTATTAGCAGACACCATTGGTATTATGGGTTAAACAAGTTCTTCAAAAATGCATTTTGCTCGGGGTTTTTTTTTAATCTGATATTGTCCCCTTTTTCTCCTTTTGCCTTTCATAGCGGTGGTTCTCAAACTATGGAATATGAAGAAAGCTTAATATGTGTGCATACAAAGTTCCATGATATAGTAACCCTTTGAATTAGATGGCCTCTGCTCTTACTGAAGAACACGAATGCTCATACTGGAGGATCTTGTGTCATTCACGTAAGACAGTATTTCTCAAATTTGGCAACTTTAAGATGTGTGGACATCAACTCCTGGAATTCCCCAGCCAGCAATTCTGGGAGCTGAAGTCTACACATCTTAAAACTTGCCAAGTTTGAGAAACACTAATGTAAGGTTTCTCTTCCAGTATCAGGAATGCATTTAGTACCTTAGCCTTTCAATCAGCTTTCCCCAACTACAGAGGTGTTAGACAGACTCCCATTATCTTCCAGCCAGCACAGTCATCCTTAAACAGAACAGCATGCTATGTGAGTACCATATGTATAACAATCTTTTCTTTTTCCCAATTTGTTGCTGTGATAAGGGAAGGAGTCAAGTGAATTTGGAAGAAGTCCCTATTTAAAAAGTTTGGAAATGCTGCTTTTCAGACATGAAGAAAAATCAAATGTCAGTCCAAAACATAAATCAGATTTAAAGATGACAAAGTTATGTTGAACAAATGCTATTTTTTTCCAATATAGGTATCAGTTATGAAGCAGATAACTGAATAATCTTTTGTTGGATCTTGGGCCACCTAAACTAATTTGGTTATATTGATCCATCATATTACTAATGTCTATCAATATCAAATTAAAATATTTCCAGGATAATCTTGGAACGGTCAAAAACCAGTCTCAGAAATTCTAGAACAGAAATTCCACTCTACCCTGGATATTGAGACTACAGTTACTGGATTTTGGGTCTACAGCTGGGAACACTAAGAGCTGTAACCCACAATATTTACAAAGCAGAGGTTGGAGAAGGCTGGCCAATAGTGTTCTATTCATTCTGCCCATGAATTGCTACTGAACTTGAATGAAGTGGATTAAACCTTGCAAAACAAAGATGATGGAATGCAAGAAATATTCAGGGGAGGATTAATAGCTTTTCTACTATATTCCATATGAGATAGCATCAGATACCTTTCATGTCCAGTTGAATATCCAACAAGACACTCTCCTCCCACAATAAGTTAACATCGTCCCAATCAATTAAAAATTTATGTTCGAGCTCTACTGAAGTTTGCACATTAGCCAGGAATTTCAGTTCCAACACATTTGAAAAGTGCCAGATTGGGAAAGGCTGCTGAATAAATAGCTGTAACATGGTATTATGATTATGACTTCCATTTCTTTTGGTGGTCCTTCTACAGAAACTCTACTGAATTGGTCCCTATGGGCTTTATCTGATTGCCTTCCACTGTTCCACCTGAATGTCCCAAACGTGCCACTTGAGCTAGCAACTACCATACACTGCTCCTCACTATAAGGCTGTTCTGGTACTTATAGATATAAAGACATGGCATGTACCAATACTGCAAATCTATACTGTTTTATACTGCTATTCCATAACAGTTCGACATAAAGAATATTATGAAGTGTTACAGTCTGTGCAGAGTTTTATTTCGTCTATATGGCTTACCGATAGATCCTGTATCTAGTGGTGAAACCCTGCCGATAGCGCTCTATGAAGTCAACATACTCTGGGGCTCGGTGAAATGGTCCTCGATCAGTAAGCAACCAGTCCAGTGGTACTTGGCTGGAGGAGGCAGTTGAGGCATGCTGCTCATGTGGTGTGACAACAGCTGTAGCCAGGCCCCAGAATCCCAGAATCAGGACCAATACTGATGAGAACCATGGGACCATCAGCCAGAGACCATTAAATCGAGTGTCGCGCTGCCACCTCATGCTTCTCCTGCTCAGTTGGCTTCTTCATTCTCTCACCACTCTTTCCTTCTTGGTACTCCTTCAGGATTTCCTATATTAGGAAGGAACAAGGATAAGGAAATAAATTATACATGAGATACAATGGGTAGTCCTGCACAATCTGTGACCCATCAAACCAAACACTTGCAGTGTAGATGTTTTTCTGAACATGGATTCCAGCTGAAACATTCCAAGATACTGACATCTGAGGTTCACAGTAACAAATGTGTAACAAAGCAAGTAATTAACACAATTGTAACTTTAAGCATACACCAAAATCTGTCCGTTTAGGATGGCATGCTGTTCTCAAGTGAGTGACTCCTTGTCAACATGCTACAAATGTATTGTTGTTGAAGTTGCTTTGTCCTGATCCATCTGGGTTTAAAACATAGAAGGCAAGAGAAATGCCAGTGATCTGGAATATATCAATATGTTATGATGACTAGGTAACTAAAAGAAAGCTGCAGTGAGTAAATATAATTGTGTTACTACTGTCTTCTCCAAGATACAGTATATTACATTTAAGCTGAACATACAAACGCTTGGAATCAGGCTTACGAGTATACCAGCTGAAATCATTACATAGGCAACAGCCCATTTCCCACTTCCTATGTGTGTTTAAACATATATGGGGGTTAGAGAGTGAATATGCTATCACTTCTGAATATCAGCTGATCAAGTCACATGTTACAAAGGCTGCTTGAAAAATTGGAATTACTGTTACACTTACTATTGACCTAAAAAGTAGGTCATTGTCATAAGCATATTATAGATATTGGGATTAAGCAGAAATAGAAGCCACCTGAAATGCTCATCATTCAGATTTATCACTCACCAATTTTATCTTACTCATATTACATATCTCACCTAATTTAAATAACAATTAATTCCCCATCATGGGTTATTTCATCTTATGTGGACAACCTTGTCTGTTCCTACCTGCCATCTGTCACTGAAATATATCCCACTCATTCAGAAGGGAATTGTCTGCCCTGTCCCTTCTTCCTCTCCAAAATTTTTAAAATTAAAAAAATATATATTGTCAACTCAATTTCAGCACTGCACATCCTATTTCATTTGTTCTAAGGCATCCATTGCTGAGGAAATGAAATGCTGAATGACAACAATGGGAATAATTTGTCAAAACTACAGCGCCACTTGCCAAGTCACCTAAACAACCAAAATAAATTAAGTAAATCCAAGACGGGCAGCACAAACACAATATAAACAAGTTGCTAAAAAGAAACCTCATACTTCCAGTTCAGAACTAAAACAAGCAGGTAGATTATTTAAAAGTTTTAAATACAGTGGACCCTCGGGTTACAAATGCTTCTGTTCACGAACTTTTCGGGTGACGACCAGCTCTAGCTGCAAAATTTTGCTTCAGTTCGCGAACTCCGCCTCGGGTTACGAACAGGATCCGTGCCGATTTTCCCTCCCGTGATCCGGTCCGCGGCCATTTTCCCGCCCGTGACACGTGGTCCGTGGCCATTTTCCCACCCGTGACACATGATCCGCAGCCATTTTCCGCCCCTGACACGTGGTCATAGGGAGGGGGACTCTTCCTCCAAGCAATAGCCGCCTCCCTGTCC